GAAAAACATTTTCACGTGGCAAGTAGTACTATCTGGAGATGTGGTGGAGGCAAGTTCAAATGAAGCATTCAAAAGAGCATTGGATGGTTATTCAAATAGAAACAATGTGCAGGATTACAGGGAAAACTCAGGATACTGGCACTAAGTCAAAATGCTCAGAGTCAATGCAGATACAAAGGACTTAATGGCCTCCTTCTGAACTGTAGCATTTCTGTGATTCTGTTCAACAGAGAAGATCTATTCAGGAAAGCGCCAAATATGTAGAGATATTGTGTCGAGAACATTCAGAGGAAAAGTTGAGGAGTTCGAGAAGACGCACAAACCTCAAACACCTCAACTGCCCAGCCCTTGTAGCGCCACCTGTACCTGCACATCTGTAGATCACATGTCAGACTTATCAACCATCTCCAAATCCATTGAACTAGGATGGAAGCAAGTCACCCTTGATTCCGAGGAATGGCTTAGCAGAGATCAGCCTGGAGTTTAGAAAGATGAGGGGAGATCTGATTGAAAATTACAGAATACTGCGAGGCCTGGATAGAGTTTCTACTCGTAGGAGAGACTAGGACCCAAGGGCACAGCCTCAGAGTGAAGAGATGACCCTTTAGAACTGAGATGAGGAGGAATTCCTTCAACCAGAAGGTGGTGAATCTGGAACTCATTGCCACAGAAGGCTATGGAGGCCAAGTCATTGAGTGTATTTAAGATGGAGAAAGATAGATTCTTGATTAGTCGGGGATCAAGGGTTACGGGAGAAGGCAAGAGAATGGGGTCGAGAAACATATCAGACATGATCGGATGGTGGATTAGACAAAATGGGCCAAATTACCTAATTCTGCTCCAATATCATATGGACATTTGATGCATTTGTGAAGCTGAAAAACATGAAAATCTCTTCAATATTTAATAAATAAGTTTTAATCACAGTTGACCCTGAGAATTTACAGTCTTCTTGAGCTAAGTTTTTATCTGACAGGCCATGGTGATGAAATCTAAATTTGAAATCTATACATATTTTAGAAGTAGCTCCAATGCAGTGTAATAATTATTTTAATCTGAGAAGTGTTTAAAGTAAAATTAGAAAATGAAACCCTTTGGTATCCGTTATGGGTGTGACCGTTAGTACCACCTGAGATGCCTTTGGGTAGATTCACTGCCATCAACCCAATCTTTTATTATTAGTCTAAGTTACCAGCACCAAGTGGTGATGGATGCCCACATGTTGTCTTTTGCAAAGTAAAAGCTCAATCTTCTTTTACAGAGTAGATTTATATTCCCTCATCAACCTGTTGAGAGATCTTGCTACACACCTCTGGAACCATGAGACTTGAGCCTAGGTCTCCTGACTAACAGATAGGGACACTACACTCTACTACCAGATCCCAACATAGTTAATACCTAATTACATTCCATCTCAGTTGCATGGTAGTGTCTAGTGAGAATTAGGCTAGACTTAGTAAGTACACATCATTGCTTAGCTACATAGAGCTTAGCACTTAAAAACTGATTCTTTGAACACTATTTAGCACCTCCCAGGAACAGTTCTTTATATTCTGATAGAGGGAGTTTATCTTGTGATGCCATTTAACGCTTTAAGGTATTTCTTTATGTAACACTTGCTAGTTCTGCTTCGCGAATATTTTAACCCTTCCCTTCTGAACTAATAAAAGACACCTTCCTGAGGCCCAGCATCAGATTAACTGGAAAGAAAACAGAAATTGCTGGAAAATCCCAGCAGGTCAGGCAGCATCTGTGGAAGGAAATCAAAGTTAACGTTTTGGGTCCAGTGACCCTTCTTCCGAATTGATGGTGGCTAGGAATAACTTTGTCTTTATGCAGAAGATAGAGTTGGGGCAGGAGGTAAGGAATAAATGATAGGTGAAGGTAGAGCCCAAAGAGTGAGTAGAACAGTTGGACAGACAAAGAAATAGATAACGGTCAACCTGGGAGAATGAATAGCTACTAATGGGGACTATTAGTGGCTAACAATGGGTAGTGTGCAATAGCAGACCATGTGATAACAAAGCCTGGTCTGTGGGGTTTGTGGTGAGGACATGGGAGAAGGGAGAAGGTGCCTGAAGCACTAAAATTGTTTATCTCGATACTGAGTCCAGAAGGCTGTAGAGTTCCCAAGCGGAAAATGAGATGCTGTTCTTACAGCTTGCACTGAGCTTCACTGGAGCACTGCAGCAAGCCTGAGACAATGATGTTGGCCAGGGAACAAGGTGGTGTATTGAAGTGGCAGGCAACTGGAAGTTCAGGGTTGTTTTTGCGCACAAAATGTAGATCTTCTGCAAAGCAGTTACCCAGTCCCCACTTGTTTCCCCAATGTCGAGGAGACTGCATTGTGAGTAGTGAATGTAGTAGACTAGAGTGAAGTGGAGGTAATGTTCTACTTGACCTGGAAAGTGTTTTTGGGCCCTTGGATGCTGAGGAGGGAATGGTCCTTGTGGAAGGCGGACAAACGAGGGGAGGGAACATGTGTCTGGTGGTGGCATCCCACAGGAGGTGGCAGAAATGGCAGCTAATGATCACCTGAATGCGGATGCTGGTGGGATAGTAGGTAAGGATAAGGGGGACTCTGTCGCTGTTGTGGGAGGGAAGAGTGGGGTGAGGACCAAAGTGCGGGAGATTGTTCGGATTCGGCTGAGCACCCTGTTAACTACGGTGCTGGGGAAAACTCAATTGAGGAGGAAGGTGAACATTTGGAGGCTCCCTTGTCAAAGTTGGCATCATCAGAACAGATACAAAGGAGGTGGAGGAACTGGGAGAATGGAATAGAGCCTTTACAGGAACTAGGGTGTGAGGATATATAATCAACATAACTGTGGGAGTCACTTGGTTTATAGTGGATATCAATGGCCAGCCTATCTGCAGAAATGGAAACAGAAATGTCAAGAAAGGGAAGGGAGGAATCAGAGATGGACCAGGTGAAGATGAAAGCGAGGTGGAAATTGGAAGCAAAATTGGTAAACCTTTCCAATTCTGGATGAAAGAGGAAAGCAGCACCAATGATGTCATCGATATACTGGAGAAAGAGTTGTGGGTGGGGCTGGAATAGGACTGGGGTGAGGAATTTTACACATACTTCACAAAGAGACAGCATAACTGGTGCCCATATGGATTCCCATGGCGACTCCATGACTCGAAGAAATTGAGAGGAGTTAAAAGCGAAGTTGTTCAGGGTGAGGAGGGTAGTGGTGGGTGGGGATAGTTTTTTTCCAGGAACTAGTGGAGTGACCTGAGACCATCCTGAGGGAGAATGGACATGTCAAGGGATTGCACATCCATGTTAAAGAGGCAGCTGGAGCCCACAAACTGGAAATTCTGAAACTGCAGCATGAGGAGAAGCAGACTAGAGCAGCATGTGGGGAAGTAGCCCTGGAGCAGCGCATGTGCACTGAGTCCCAGGTACAGACTGGTGTGGGGGAGGCAGTCCTGAAACTTACCTTGGAGCAGCTGAGTGCCGGTACAGAGTGCCCTGGAGGCTTGGAGCGGAGCAGGAACAGCTGTTGGACTGGGGTCTGGCGCAAGCGGTCAGTCCACGCACAGAGGCCCTGCACTCAGCTGCCACACTGTAATGTTTATTTGAAATTTCCTACCTTATTGCAATGTCAATCCTTTAATGATGTTCTATTTTTAACTTATTTTTCAAATCTGTCAGTAATGCAACTACTTATATTCCTGTGCTGTATCCAAGATTTGTACCTAGATACTTGTACCTGTGATAGGATTAGGTTATGTTGTTGTAAGAAGGCAGATATTGTAAAATCTTCTCACTGTACTCCGACAATGGAGCACAAGTGACAATAATGGATATTCTATTCTATTCTATGATATAAAGCGTCCGAGGAAACACAGATGTAAATGTGAAGGGACTGGACAAGGAAGAGGTGACTCGTGTGGGGCAGTAGCAGGCAGAAACAATGGGTCTGCCTGGGCAGTCCTGTTTGTAGATTTTGAGAAGGAGGTAGAAGCGAGCTATATGGAGTTGGGGCTCTATGAGGTTGGAGTCTGTTGGGGTGGCGGTTGGGTGGGAGGAATCACTAGCTGAAATGAAGTTTGTGACCATTGTTGACACAGTAGCCTGATGTTCAATGATGGGGTCATGGTCCATGGGGAGATATGAGGAGGAGGATTAGATTCAAAACAGCTCACATTGCTGTCACTATACATAATCCCTCCTTTCATGTAAAAGGAGCAGCAAGTAGTGAAAGAAAGTCAGAGAGCAGTGCATCCATGTTTCGTTTCTTCTTAAAAGAGGTTGTGCAGGATATCAAAGATAGGAAGCTATGGTAGAGAATTTAAGGACCATAATGAGCTCCACAGCCAAAGCACATCAGTTCTGAGGAAGGGTCACCGGACCCGAAAAATTAACTCTGATTTTTTTTTCACCGATACTGCCAGACCTGCTGAGCTTTTCCAGCAACTTTGTTTCTGTTCCTGATTTACAGCATCTGCAGTTCTTTCGGTTTTGATTTTTCCACAGCCAAAGCACTGTCCACACTGTTTCCAGTTGTGGCTGCTGTTCAGCGAAATTCAGTGAACTGAAATCAGATTAACCTGAATTATCTAAGATGTTTACACCAACTATTAGCTGATCAAAAATTGAATGTTTTGCACGTAAGTATGCCTCAAATTTCGGACATCCTACTTAAAAATACCAAAAGCAGAAAAAAAATGCAAAAGGTTGTTATTCAATTCTAGTTTCTTCTGACTGAGATGGAGTATTTACAATCTAGAAACTTCATTTACAAAAAACAGTTAGTCTTAGGTGAGCTAAAGCATTTAGACTTGGTGATTTTAAAGGTATGGTCTAAGCCTAAACACAATTACAGCTTAATAGTGAAGTAGTGCTTTGCGTGTTGCATATTATAAGATGTGGGACAGTAGCAAGCCACATGTCTTACGATTTAAATATGAGTAAAACCATCCGAGATCCACCAGTATTATTACATTACTTGATACTAATTCAGACACTTTCTCTGTTCTTCTTGCAGGTGCAGATATTGTCCAGTGGCTACTGAAGAATCTGAACATTGAAGATCAAGGTACAATTACTGAGATTCAATCTGGTAAATCCATGCACAATCTGATAACTTCAAAATAATATTTCACAGAATGATGAAGTGACTAAATTAATTTCACGTTGCTTTTTTTTAATACTACAAAACAACACAATATGCTTCAACAGAATTTCACAGCTACAACTGGAAACAGTGCTATGGCTATGAAGCTCAGAACCTTCTATACCACAGGTTCCTATCTTTGATGCCCAACGCAACTTTTTTTAAGGAGAAACATGGGTGCACTGGTCTCTTACATTCCCTTGCTACTTGCTTCAGGTTGTGTGCAACCTTTTCCAGGAAAGAAGAGATTATGTTAGTACAGTGCTGTGAGCTGTTTTGAATGTGTGCCTTGTCATGATTAAAATTACAGATGTTGTTTATAAAATGAGTTGGAGTATTGGTGAGAATAATGCAGAGTATATGTCTGTAAGGGGAAGGTAAAGTCAGCTTAGTCTTAGCAAGCCATGGGACTGCTGTTTCATTGGAGAGAGACAACTGGTGGTGGTTTAACTTCTGGGTCACCATGACTCAGGCAAGGGGAGAGGTTGAAGAAGAAGAGTCCATCTCTCCTTCCTCTCCTTCTGTCCTGGGATTCCAAGAGCAAATTGAAGCCTGTCCATAAAAATAACCCCAAGGTACCAGTTGCCTGCCACTTCATCACACCACCATGTTCCCTGCCCAATGTTTCTGTCACAGGCCTGTTGCACTGTTCCAGTGAGCCTCAGCACAAGCTCAAATAACATCATCTCATTTTCCATTTGGGGATCCTGCAGCCTCCAGGTCTCAACATCGAGTTCAATACCTTTTAGAGCCAGATTCCATCCTTTCATGTTTTTTACCAACCCCAACACCTGGTCTTGTCATGACATAGTTTGCTTTCAGCACAGACAACCCGTTCTCTCGTACTCTCAGCTCTCATTATCACTTATTTAGCTTCTCTTTGCCCCGGCCTACTATCAGTAATCCCCTCACCTGCTATCCCTTTCATCTCTCTCTCTCTCTCTCTCTCTCTCTCTCTCTCTCACTGTCTTCCTCTCACTTTCTCTCTCTGGGCTCTGTGTCATCAGCATAAATACCACTTTTTCCTTGCTGATGACAGTTCTGAAGAAGGATCACTGGACTTAAAACATTAACTCTGCTTTCTCGTCACAGATGCTGCCAGACCTGCTGAGTTTCTCCAGCAATTTCTGTTTTCATTCTGAGAACTGGCTAGGACTGTCTCCTCAGAGAACCAGCTGACTGCTTTCTTTGCAGGGCCTCATTATGATCACTGGCTGGTAAATTTGTGGTCAGTGGTGTTTTTCTGTATGAATGTCTCCACATGGGACAGGTGGAATGGCACAGCCCCAGTTCTTGGAGTGTTCAGCGGCAATGGGCCAGATCCATTCTTTGTGACATGAGAGACAGGTTGAAGCTTGGAGTATGGTGACACTTGGTGGTTGTGTACTGAGGGCCTGCGCACAGTTGGATGCAGCTGTAACCTACAGCGGCCATCAGAAGGATGCAATATTTGGTACACCTTTTCCTCCTCTTTCAAGAGGTTTTTGCATAAGGTCCCTGTGTTCATGGTCCATTTGCAACTTGCAGATAAATTGGATGAGACCTCAGGTCATCTCCATGGTGCAGGAGTGAGGAATGGCCGAGACCTGCACTACATAAGGTAACACTGTGAGTACATTGCACTTGATGACCAGGTTCTCATTCCCAATTGAGATGGACTGTCGCTCCCATATGTAGTCTCTGTTTCACCAGAGCTACTCACTCTCTTTATAGTTTTTAACACACGCACTGCTTTTTCTGAATCAAGTCCCCAGGTATTAAGACCCGACATAAAGAGGACAAATCAGTCAGCTCAGTTCACAAAGAACATGGCTTCGGACTTGCCATAATTTGCTTTGGTTCCTGAGGCCCATTCAAACTCATTGCTGAGGCTCATCAGTTATGCACAAACAGCAGATCTTAGCAGAAGTTGCTGATGTTGTCTCTGTACAGGTAGACTTTGACCAGAATGGCTCCATTCCTGGAATTGTCACCTCTCATATGGGTTATGCATGCATCCTTCCTGATAGACTCAGCTGATGCCAGGGGAGAGAGAACAGCAGTAACTGACTATACATTCTATTGGAATCCTTTTTCCAGAATTCATTTTGGACAGCACATCCATCATGCGGATGCCTGATATTCTGTTAAAGGCCTTCTCTTGATTCAGGCTGATCAGGCAATTGTCCATGTTAATGTCCTGCACATAGGGAATTGTATCACTGAGGACTGTGCGGTTCTCTGATCTTGCTGCCAGGCACAGTGCTGGTTTGGTTCGGATGTATCAGAGACTCTAACATTGTAGTAGTGTATCTAGTTCCTGTCTGTAATGTTAGCAGATGAATTTCTTCAGCCACCTTAATCCTACCTGCAACAGTGCATCTCCTCTTTGAAAGGTATTGACTGACTATAACTAAAGCAGAGGAACCTGACCTCGCCCAGCGCCCTCAAAACAGGTAGCAGCCAATAAAAAAAATGGATATTGTTGTCTGATTGATGCCCAAGCCCCAGCACAACTTACACATGCACTTTCATTCAGCAGACCAGGTAGTAACAGTGCACATTTGGCCCTCCATACCCATCATTTGGCACCATCAAATTTCAAAACCTTTACACATTGACTTCACTCATTCTCCTTTCTGGACAGAACGTTATGAGTGAGCTGAATTATGCTCACTATATCTGCATTAACATTTCAGTCCAGGCTGGGGCTAATGGTTCATTAAAGTCTGCATCTTCCTAATAATGAGTCGTCACACAAAAATCCCCTTGTGGACCTCAGTTGGAAGTTAATAAGACTGTAACATTATTCAAGGAAGTCATTTGTGTGCCCTTGCCAACACTCCTCCCTGAGCAAGTATAAAACAAGATTGATTAGGCTGCCATCTCATGGCTGTTTATGGGATGACCCAGATGCAGATTTGCTGCCGTGTTTACTCACTCACATAATACCAACTGCAGCACTTCAGAAAATAATTCAAAGTCTGAAGTGCTCTTCAAACTGATAAGGCATTTTATAAATGCAAGTATATCAGTATTATTATTAGAAACCTCTTATCTTAGCTGCCACACAGATCTAATGAAATGGATTATGGTAAGAGTTCTGTTCTTAACATGCGTTTCCTTAGTAACAGGTTGTTTAAATACTGTACTTAATGTAGCATTGCTGATAAGCATTGTTTTGTTCTAATATCAGGAAAACAGCAACATCGAAAAAAATTAGCAAGAAGAATGAGTCTGTTAGGTCTAATGGGTTCAGCCCCTTTAGATTGTTCTGAATCCCACCAAAACAAAACAAAGACGTCAGGAAACCTCCAGATGTTGCCTTTTAGACGTTGACTTGGACTAAATATGTTTCAGAATTTTTTTCCAAAGGTATCTTTTGGTAAAACAGAGTACAAACCAAACTACTATAGTGCCATACCTCTTGAGTATTTTATAGGATAAACATATTAATGAAGTTAGAATCCACACAGCTTCCACACTCGAGTAAAGGCAAAACACCGCGGATGCTGGAAATCTAAAACAAACAGAGAATGCTAGAGAAACTCAGTAGGTCTGGCAACATCACTGAAGGGAGAAACACAGTTAATGTTGGACATCTGGTATGACTTCTTCAGAACACTGAAGGGGCAATATAATTTATATGTATAATTTGTGCAGTTTTGAAGAAGGGTCAATGGACTCGAAACGTTAACTCTGTATCCTCTCCATAGAGGCTGCCAGACCTGCTGAGTTTCTCCAGCAATTTCTGTTATTGTTTGTTTCAGATCTCCAGCATCCATTGTTCTTGGTTCTAATTTATGCATATGTTGTGTTTAAAGCATCATGGAATTATGTTATTTCTACCAAGTATGGTGCTCCATTTAATCTTACTAAGGCTCTTATTTATGGGACCTTCAAACATTTCAACAATGTTGCACATACACTAAACTACTTTGAAGTATGATGACTGTAGAAGAAATGGAGTGCCCAAAGAGTAAAGAAATGATGCACCAATCAATGTTATGTTTGGTGGTGTTGCTTTAAGAAGGATAGTTTGCTAGAAAGACAGAACTTCCTACTGTCTCCTCAATCATTGGAATAGGAAAGAGAAACTCCTTGAACTTTCATCAAAGGACAGGATTTCCATCCCAAGATTAAGCGAGAATGAAGGTGGATGGCACATAATTTTGCTGCATCGGCTGGTGAGCAAACTTTCAGGCATTATGCCTTCCCTGAGCTATTTCTGCAGAAACACAAAATCCTATCGTAAAGTGCAAATTTCTGTTGAAACCCTCTAAATTGATTCAGCACATCAACAGTGAAGCCACTGGGTCATGGAAATGATGCTGTATGATGTCGAAAGCTTTTGAACAAAAGGATTAATATAACTGTTTTAAATATATAATCACCTCTGTTAAAACAGTGACTACGTCAATTATATAAAATCCACAGCACAGAAATAAGCCATTTGATTTGACTGGCCTTTGCTGGCGCTACTGCTCTATATTAGCATAATTTTCAATAGCTTTCTAATCTTCGATTGCTTTCTCTGTGCATACTTAGTTAGCTTCCACTTAAATGCATCACTGCTACTTGCCACAATTTTTCATGTAGTAATAAGTGCCGCTTAAAAAACACACTCTGGGTGGAGAGGTTTCCCCTGTGTTACTCACTGGATTTATCAGTGGCTATCTGACATTTAGGACCCCTCAGTTTGGATTTTTCCATAAGTGAAGACTATTTTTCAATATCTATCCCAACAATAATCTTTAATGTATTTTCTTCATCCCTTTCAGGCTAAACCCTCAGAATTTCCATTTCAAGAGCTGACTTCCAGGTCCTGTTCAGTCTTGCCTGACAGATATAAATATTCTTGGATAGTTCTTGTATTTTTTTTTATACCCCCTCCAATGCCTTCTAGATGTAGAAATTAATGTGAATGTATATATGGTATTGGT